CCAAAGGTGATCTCCTACTTAAAAAGGTTGGAGACTACTGTCCTAAGAGGACTTATTCTGTTACACACATAGCCATGACTCTGAAAATATCTTTTTTTCTACATTGTGTTTCCCAAAACAATGTGCATGTTTGATCTGGGGGCATGTTATATGCAAGAGAATATAATATTTTGTCTTTGTTATTAGTTGCATACCAAATGGGCATTCATTTCTGGACTTCTCCCTGCCGTTATTTCCTCTCTGGAATGTGAAACAATTTTCTATACACTGAGTTCTTTTAAACTTCTATTTTTGATGTCTTTGGTATCCAATATTCTGGGAATCCAGTAGCCTTTTTCCCTCCCCTCTTTCCAATAGCCAAACCACCCATACATTGTTTAAACACACTGGCTTTTTTCCATTGCCTCTAACATAAATTTGAGCCAATTATTTTTATAAGCCTTCTTCCGCCTTACTTTTTCTGCTGTCTAGTTCTTTAAGATTTTATGCCATAAAGTGGTGCTGAATATTCTGGCACCAATCCAAAGTGCTTAAACACACAATTTAAGTGCACAAGTCAATCATTAACATCAGTGTAGCTATTGACGTGCTTAATACTATGTACAAGCTGCATTAGTGCCACAGAGTTCTGGTGCAGTTGACATGGTGAAGCCCACTTGGTAGGGAGGTGTCTATTCCAGTGGTTTATGTTTTCGGTAGATCAGTTAGATGTGTTGCTTTGGAAGCTGTCTCATACTTTTTTCTGTCCAAACAGAAGTATAGCCTATGGAAGATAAGAATTTTAGAATTGATTGTATAGTACTAGACATGCTAGTGGACCATATATGATGACATGATTCTGAGAAGGTGCCAAGGCAATGAATGATATCACACTACTGGGTCACGTCCATAAATATTACTGAACTTTCTTTGAGTAAATGGTGTTGAGTAGCTGCCTCTGTCTCAGAAAAAGTGGAAAAAATCACTCTAAGAACTTGGAGCCACATTAATCTGCCAGTATAACTGCATTCACTACACTGATTACTTTAAAAGAAAATTGACCCTGGGGTAGTAGCTGAACTAGATAGCAAAAAGGAAAACCTGTAATAATAATTGTGTATGTAAAAAAGCATATTGTAGATTGTTTCTCCTGTGATACTGCAGCATATTTTCTTTCCTACTAGTGGTCATTTTCAGCAGAATTATGGGTTATTTACATAGCAAGTGTAGCTTTATTCCTCCTTGGTAATTTAATATGCTAAGATTAATTTACTGATATATACAGTAGTTTGCTAGCATTAAATACTCACCATCACCATGAAGCAGTTTGCAGTCATTGGCCATCACAGTGAATGCATGGAAATCTGTCTTTCTTTACATAAAAGATTCAGGAATTCCTTTTTAAACTATTTCAGTTTTACAGCTTTGTTGTTTGCTTAATTAACTTATGAAGAGGGTAAAAATTGTTTTCAATAAAGAATTTTACAGGTGCCATTGTGTAACAAAGTTGTTTAAGAGTATGGGAAAAAGCAGTACAAGAGAAATGCAAATCTGCATAAACCTCATTGTGATTTAACCCTTCTAGAGCTGAGTATAGCATAAAAGGCCGACTTTTTTTCTGCAGCTGTATATAGACTAACTGCAAACTGAACCCTTACTTATACTACAACCTTGGTAATAATGTGTTCAGTTAATCTGCACAGCATAGAATCACCCCCTCAAAAATGTAATTCACTTCTTTAAAAACTAGGAGGAAAATAAATATAGTGCAGTAAAATTGTTGAGTAGAGGAATCTATCTGGACATTTCACAAAACATTTCATTATGCTGATAATTCCCAGAAGTGCTCTCAAGAGTGCTTTAAGCTGAGGATTACTGCACTGGATCTGATGGACTTTTTTTGTAGCCCCTTTAAAAGGCAGTGAACCGTTTTTCTATTTTATTTAAATAATGCCCCTTAAAATGGATTTTTAGAGGTATAATAACTCCTTAAGAGTCAGTTATGCTAAACAGTTTCTCTTGATAGAAATGTTGTAAAACTCGTTAACTGCACAATTTCAGATGCCGGCTTGGTGAACACTAACTGACATGTGAATGGCCAGAGTTTGTAAAATAAATTGAAATAGTTGTTGTATCACACAGCTAGCAATGCACAAGCTGTAGGCCACAAGGGGCTCAAACCTGACAGAAAATTACTTCAAGATGAATGAAAAGTGCTTGTTTCTCTTTATTAGTTTTTAGAGAACAATGAAAATGTTGAATTGTTTACAGAAGGGCTGATTAAATGTGGTCAGTAGGGCCATGTCCCTACTGCTAACTGTTAGCCTCCCCAACCCCCCAAGCCCTTCTCTCCACCACATGCATCTTCTTATAGGCTATTATGGTCACACATCTGTGTGTGAAATGTGCTCATTTCGACATTCCACTGCTGCTCTGAGCTGTTGAGGCCTTTGTTAGGTAAAACACTGTTGTCAAGCCTAACAAGCAGGTCATGCAATTTGCTGGACACTGCAGCAGAGAATAGGCCGCTATGAATCGCTTGGACATCTAACAATGCTCAGTTCAATATTGAAATACATATGTATTTTTTTCTTTGTTAGTCCTGATGCTTGCAATATTATTTTTTTTTAATGTTTGCATTTAAAAACCACACTTGATAAGAATATCACAGTATGGCATGTTCCTTCTACTGAGTTATATTACAGAGGAAGAGGGAAAGCATAAAAATGTAGACCTGAACTTTTGTGACCTAAATTCACTTTATAAAAGCACAATAAATGATGCAAAGCACTATCCAAAAGTCTGTCAGACTGTCTGATCTACTTTCAGAGTCATTCAGATTAGAAAAGCTAATATTAGCACAGTATCCCATTTATTAAAGTATCTGATATAATTCAACAGATGATCTACATTCCAGTAATTAATAATTGTATGCCAAAAAAATACCCCTTCAAGAAAGTAACTTTTAAAGCAGTTCTTGTGGGTCATGTTCATGCAATACAAATCTGAGCAGTGAAAGCAATGGAGTGTGCTGTGGTTACTACACAACAAAATTGTCTTTTTTGCTCCACCCCTTTCCTCGTTTTTTATCCCTTCCCCCCCAACCTTCCCACCTCACTCCAAACACACAAATGCACCAAGAAAAATCAACCACTAACATGCAAGGGTTTGAATGCTATTTGTGGCATTCTGTCACTGTACATAGTGTACCGCCCTAATGTGAAAGCAGGATTTTCTTTTTTCTATCTGCAGAACATGCTTTCCAGGCCTATTATGTGTATAAACAATGGCATATGTAATTACCTTTCCAGGGTGGCAATTACTTCTGAGAATCAACAACTAGAGTTAAAGCATGATTCCAACCCCCCCCCCCCCCCCCAACAAACAAATCTTCTCCCCTTCTCTCATCTTCCCACAAAAAACATTTGGGGATCAAATCAGAATTCGTTATGTCAGCCTTTGAGGGGATAGATACAATCAGTCCAGCTTTTAAATGTCAGTGTGTGTGGGGAGGTTCTTTTTTAAAGGTAATTGCTTTACATTTGTTTCAGATTGGCTCATTTCAACCCTTCCCTACAAGCTAATTGTTATACTGCAACCCCCATACTGAAAACTTTTGCACTTTTGCTAGTGAGGATTTCCTTGGCAACTCAAGGGTATGAAAATACCATACCTGCCATATCAAAGTGGTTGGACAGTGTGAAATGCTGACTCGCTTCAAGCTATGAGAGAGATTGTGCAGGGTGGTGGTAGGGAGATCACATTTTCTTTATTTTTCAGTGTCTCGCAGCCACCTTCCTGCATCAGGTTATAGTGCTGCATGTGGCTGCATCTGGACTTGAGCACTGATAAAATGATCTGTCACCACCTCATTATATCTGACAGTTCAATGTACCTCAAAGTTTGCTTTGCTGTTTTACATGTAGGACCCAATCCCACAGGGCATAATGTGCCCGTAACATGGTCCTAAGGACTCTCACCTCCCATTGACTTCCATGGAACTGGAAGTACCTCATAAGAGACACCTTCCAGATTAAAATTATACTCAGCCCTTATGGCTAAGTACAGACCATCAAAAAGCCTGAGGCTGAATCGCTTCAATCTTTGCAAGTTAGTCTAAGCTGCATAGCTTGAACCGATAAGCAAGTGAACAGACATTGCCTTTCAATTCTGGAAATGCAGCCACATGCTCAGGCCAAAAGCCGGCGGGCAGAGTGCTAGAGCATGGCCCCCAGCACTGCTGGAGCAGACAGTTTGGGACAAGGCTAGCCCTCCCACCCTGCAAGGGGGGCTTTTGAGGGAGGTGCAAAGCATCCTGGGATGCTGGGGGACTGTGAGTTAACTGGAGTCTGGAGGGGATCTGAGACAGATGTTCAGTAAACTGATTTAACCTAAATCAGTTAAATCTGATACTACATCCATCTAGGTTTTTCTTAAACCAGTTTCGGCCATTTTGAAAGTGGTTTATGTGCACTGTACTTCTGTTGTATTATATATTTTAACCAGCTTCCGATCACTAATACCAGTTTATATGTAATTTCTGCCCCTAGCCTATATGTAGTTTTTGCCTGTGCCCCATTTTCTTGGTGGTTTAAACCTTTTCACCTTTAGATTATAAAAGAAAAAATCCCCATTTCAAGAAAGTACATGAGCATCTATGATTAGGTCCCATTGATTTCAAATGGATTTAAATATGCACTCTCTTAAATAAGAAAGGTCTTAAATATATGTTTAAGTGCTCTCCAGAATTAGGGCCAAAATGAAGACGATTGCTTGCAAGGTCTTTTTGCTAGCGACAGTGTTGCCTTTTATGGGACAGAGTAAAAAAAAATACTCCTATGGTAAACTAAAGAAGTGAAGGGTATGTGAATGGTGGATTCATTTTCTTTCAAATCTTATATATTTTTCTATGTTTCTGCTTCCAGCCAGCCCTACTCATGTGTTTTATACTTGTACACAACAAAGCACTGGGGGAGGAAAATGGGGGAAAAAAGGAAGCTTGAAAGAAAATTTGTGTGGAATGATAGCAAAGAAGGATCCACTTATTCATTTAATGTATGAGTGCAATTTATTGCTGAAGAAAGGTGCATTCACACAGCTTATCTTCATTTATCTGTGGATGGGTCCTGAGGAGACAGTGCGAGGCAGATAAGCAGTTATTTGCTTCTCAACTCTCCAGTTTTCCTGTTGAAAAGATTATGAATAGTGGAATCAGTGATGCACCTTTTCCAGTCTTAGAAAAAATAAAACACAGTGCTAAAATTGCAATGAAGCCAAATACTTAGAGTGCATTTTCAAAAACGTGTGCATGTCTAATATTTATGCCACTGGTCAAGATAGGAATCGCTAAGTCTTTGTTTTTGTCTGTCTGATAATGGATTAAGATGAAAAAAATCCCAAGCAAAATAGAAATTACAAACATCTCTGTTGGGGAATACAAACACAGCTCTGAAACCCTCCTTTCTTCTACTTTTAATAGCCAGGAACATAAATCATAGGAGCCAAGCTATGGGAAATATTAATCCTGCCATTAGAATCTGCCTTCTAACTGTCTTCCCAGCCAGTTGAGTAGGTAGGTGGTTTTGGAGTTACCCCAAGTGCTGATTCCATCAGAGCTTGGACTGCTAATGAGCTGTCTCAGCTATACAGCATTTTCCTTTGTCTCAGCTACAGTTCTGAGGGCCTCATCCATCTCTATCTAGGTACAAATAACATTTTCATAAGACTTCAGTTAAGGTCTGTTAATGGCTAAAAAGATGTTGTAAGATAATGTGTCTTACTTGCCAGCTGTTCTCTATCAATAATTAAATTGTACATTTCTATCCCCCACCCCTTTTATTTGAGGACTATTTGAAAGCCTCCTAATGCCATTATGAGGTGGGAACAGATTATTATATTTATCTTTCAAATGGATACACTGAGAGGGAGAGAGTTAATCAGGACCACAGAGATAGTCATCTGCAGAGCTGGAAAGAGTACTACAAACCCAGGTTACTTCCTTTACATAACCTGATTCTCCATTTGTTTTCCCCTAGTATAAATCCAGTAACTCCAGTGAAGTCTCTGAAGTTATATTAATACAGAGTTGCTCATATTGCCTTAGTGTTTGCAATATGAGGGCAAGAGTTACCAAGTCAACTTTCCAAGCAGAAACGTATGCAAAGCTGATTTACAGAATCTATGGAGACAGAAGCAGCAGTTCAGAGAGAACAGATGCCTATTCATCTCAGTGCTTTGTTTACTCTGGAACCTAATTCTGATAATTGAAATATTATCTCCATTAAAACGATCAATACTGATCTTTTTAGCAGAAATATCAAGTGTGGTAAGCTCTTGAATGGGTGTGTCTGCTTTTCTTCTGCGAATCTGTTTCTGGCTATTCTTAATACAGTCTAGAGTGGTTTAGCATCCTTTAGAAACAGAATGATAGCATTAATGATTATGATTCCTTCCTGGGGGTAAATACATTTGAGTGTAACAAATATTCCTTTTCTCACTTTCTGAAGTTGTTTCTGCTTCTGGAAAACAACTTAGATGACAGCTTTCAGTGAGACTCTGATTTTTCTTATTGGAAAGCATCTAATAAGCACAGACACCTCTCTGCCTTTATTTCACCACATGAGTACCTCCAATTCACCAGTTGTTGAAGTAATTCAATCTGATCTGTTCAGATGATGGGTTTTGACAAACTACATAAACCTGTCATTAAGGGGAGGACAGGTTATAGTCACTGCTCAGGACATAACAGTACTCTTCATTGTTTACTGCACAGAGGATAATGTAGCTCAAGAGGAAATAGCAAAGATAAAAGTAAGGTTAGTTAAACACTGAATTAGGCACTCTGTGCTGAAAAAGAGTGATAGTATCTGCCCACTAGTTCAAAGGTTCAATGTAAATATTATTCATTTACAAGTTCTCCTTGGCTTTTACTTGTGACACTGATTATTAGAAAGATACAAGACTCCCATATAAGAGAAAAACACCAATTTTACGTAAGAAAGCCACACAAAAAATGTGGTTTCAGTCCCTTGATACCATAATAGTTAAAAGTGAGGCCTTTGACCTCCATAAATAATTTTACTTCTGGCTTCTTTCATTTGTGACCTGCAGACACTTTCTATCTTTCCACAGGCTTTTTACTCCAGTTTCCTTATTGGCAATTACTTACCTAGTAATTCAAATCCAATTTCAATATTGACTATTAGGTTGTAAGCTCTGTATCAAATGCATACATTATAACATGCTTGGTTTCCATTAAAACTCTAGCAGACTTAAGGAAAGTGAAAGGAAAAAATATAGCTGGTGATGGTGGTGAGTCAATTATGCTTGCATCGCATGGCCCTCTGAGTTCACATTAAACTCATATTGCTCCTGGTACTTTAAAAGGAACATTGATATTAAAAATTAAAGCAGGTAAGAACTGTATCGAGTACATAACCTTAAAATTGGATTGGCCTTTAATCTGACAGTGGATCATTGCTTTGTCCCTTTATGTAGAACATAAGTATGCTCTTTTTTTGGTGTCCTTGCCCTTACATGGGTTTTCCTAAATCAGTGCTCCAACATACTCCCCTGGGGTCATGCATCCATGCTCTTCCTAGGGTCAAGGCTGAGGAATGGAAAGGAACTGAGGAAAGGCTGAGGAAAAGGAACTGGCAATGTTCCTTGATACTGCGATCCATAAGGCATGTGTCAATCCAGCCAGGAACCAATGCAATATGGAGCTACCTGAAGTCACTAAGGGCCTTCCCCACATTACTGAGAAGAGGGACCTAATCTATGAGAACAGAGTTCCAGTCCACAAAGAAGAGGAAGGTCCAGGCAGGGGAAATGCATGTACATCTTTTCCTAATATGGCCAAGATCTTCAGGGTGGGGAGGCCTCATGTCTGCAAACACGTCTTTTTTTGAGGAGATGCTTATCAGGAAACTCTGCTAGAGAAACCTGCCTCTCCAGCACCTCCCATACATTTAGCTGCCACAGGTGTCAGTTAGGTCCACAGAATCAAATTCACCCTTGTACAACCACCCAGAAGTCAATGGAAAAACCCAGTGGGGTGAATTTTGCCCATCCAGTCCAGATGCAATGTTAGTCTCGGTAGCACTGTAACACTTCCACTGTGCACAGATTAACTTGAAAAGTCTTTGGAGTAGGAACTGTCTTCATGTCCTGTGTTGGCACAACACCATGCACAACGGGTTCCAAACAAATGACTGGATCTCCTGAGTGGTATCTTTATGCAAACAATAAATACATTTAAAAATAACTCCAAATACTGCATATTTATATAACTGAATGCATGTGGATCTATACACTGTACAGTGTAATTCTAGCCAGTTGCCAGTATTCCAGAAATCTATTGCTGCCAAGTCTGCAGTTCATAATTAAAAGCCCACTTCACTGATGTTCTCTTTTTCTGATCTCAGTGGTAGACAGTGAAATGATCCAGTGCATCACAGCATTATCTCCATAGCCTGTTCTGCAGTTTTCTTTTGTAATATAGAGATTCCTCGCTATTAGAGAGTTTATTCTATTACTCTTAGTGAATGTATTTCTATGCTCCACTTTTACCATCTTTTTCTGCTTCCCGGGAGGTGCCTTCAAAGTGAACATCCTTCTACCTCTTTCATATTTAACCAGTCCCAATGAACTCTCTCTAGTTTAGTACCAGGGATGTCTCTGTTTTTTCTTCTGATCATTTCCAGTTTGTTACACAGGGGTTTATAAATGCCAACTGTTTTAGCTGAATGTGACCAAAAGCGTTGAAAGATTTTCATAATTTCTTATTTAATAATATCCCTTAACTATGTAATGATCTTGTATACAGCTGTTTGGCAGCTCAATAGGAAAACAATGTAATCTATTGATATCACTTGTAATGAAGAGGAGTTAATTCTATCGAGTTTTTAGAAATCACTCCATCATCCTTCCCACCTGGACATATGACTGTCCAAGTCATTTCTATGTCAGTAATCTCATCAGAAAATATCAAAGATTCATGTATATTGGTAATAAAGTGAAAAACTATTTTCGTAGTTTCTGTGACTATGTCTATCTAAATTTCCATAGCAGTTCCAGTTCAGTGAATGTGTAGACTGTATTTATAGAGCCAATGATCCAAATTCTATTTACTATATTAATCCCAAGTAGTTCAAAATTAAAGGAGTTGCTTTGGATTTACACTAATGAAAAAGACTTTGTCCCTTTATAACAGACTATCCATAGAATGGTTAATACCAACCATAACCATACAAATATTCAATATGCAAGAGTAAGAAATTTAAAATCATGAAAATGGCTTAAAGTCATGCCCACTCCCTTCCCCTTCCCACCCCCACCCCCCTTCCAAAAATGAGTTTTGCCTTCTGGTTTTTTGAACCTTTATGCCAGGTACAGATGTTACACTTTTACTGGTATAAGTGATCAGAAACTGGTCTATACTTGTAAGAAAACAGAACTTTGGCACACACCGACTGATTTAAAAATGACAGAACCCAGTCTAAGATTTGCCCTCCACCTCCACCCCCTCCAAAATGTGACTGTGAGTTCTGTTCGCTACTGATCTAAATTACGCCACTTACAGAAAATCGCATGACTTGGACTGATTCCGCCTCAGGCCTTTTGAACAGCTGTACCTAGCCTTAGTGTTCACATTCTTCAAGCTTTTTTTTTTTTTTTTTTGCAACAATGAAATCTATAAACTTCCCATTTCCATGAAAGTTCAGATTCTCACAGTATCGCATCCTTCCAGGCTTTAAGAAAAACACCAAAAATCGAGACTCCCAACAAAATTGTGACCAGTGGTAGCAATCTATTAAACTAATAGGAGTTCCCCAGACTGCCCATCACACTGTTATTTTAAAATCAGTCTTATTAACTGTTTATCTAAATGTTAGGAACTTCTTACCGGCAGCTCACTGGACTTAGCATCACCTAAACAACTTAGAAGAGTCTTTTGTAATAGGAAAAAGAAAGAGAAGGGGGTACTCGTATAGGGGGAAGTTGGAGTAATAACCAAATGTTCTATCTTAAAATTTTAAAAAAATAACTATGCAAAAGCATCAGGAACTCTTTTCAAGGTTCCTAAACAACCGCTTGCCAGAAAACCCTCCAAGCTCATTCATTCTGCTTTGTCTTTTTTAATAGGTTGTTTAATTTAGCCACAGCACTGGGTATCAATTCACCAGTTCCCTGGAAGTAGGATTGAAGCTCCTGTTTGGTCTCTGCTTAGCTACTATTAAAGTTGTACTTCACTTTTTTAATGTGGAGGCTGGCACAGGAGAGAATCCATTGCTGATTATCATGCAAATCGTTCTCCTCTGCTGTCTCCAAAGAGGCTCCCAGCTTTGCTTTCCCATTGATTCTTTCTTTGTCACAGGGATAAGGCTAACCATCTCTTCTGACACTAGAAGCTACAAAGATAGGTTCTTCTGACAGTGATTGGTAGGCAGAAATGAATCTTTCAGATAGGAGAGAAATATGATTTTATTTAAGAAAATAACCATACATAATTGGGCTTCTGTCACTTTAAATTTTAATGGTAATACTAGTGCTGAGGCTTCTGAAACTTTAAATTACAGCTTTCAGTGGCTTCACACTGAATCTCTAAATTATTCTTCCTAACTACTTTCTCAAAGCATGTGCACTATGACATGGATATCACAACTCAAATCTACATCCCAAACTGACTGCAGGGCT